CGCATCTGGATCACCGTTGTCACTACACACGATGTGCAACACTTCTGACACAGACGTGGCCGCAGCTTTACCAATGTGGTCAACCGATTGATTGAGCAAGCCAGTTGCGACGTCCAAACTGTAAGACTGGTCCATCGTTAGCATATGTGCCCTGCATCTGTTCTTGCGCAAATTGAAACAGCCGTGCTCCATGGTGCCCCACTCGTCATCAATCTCGGCGGACCTCGCCTTGACGTCTGCTTGCACCAGCAACCTGTCATCACGATAGATGGACACGCTCTTCCTGTCTACGTTCGTGATCCTGTCGATGCTCACCAAACGACCGCCATCGTCATTGCACGTCCCCCAGAGACCTGCAGCTTCCTTGTCGCCCCTGGCAGGCAAGTCATCGTCGCCACGCGCGTCGCAGAGAGGAGCTGGACAAATTCGTGCATGCCGAGACCTCTCACGGAACAGTTCCAACCCCATTTGGTATTTCACGGGGTCATTGCATATCGCTTCCCAGTTACGCAAACTATCTTCATTCTGCTGGTTCCACTCGTCTCGAGTATGAGGGCGGTCTGGCGCAACAATCTGTTTGTGAAGCTTCATCCGCCTGTTGAAATAATTCACGCGCGCACTGCCGCCAATCCCTGCTCGATGGCTCGTGGGCGCACCGTGACTGTCGGAAATGGCGCCGACTGGTTGCGATGAAGCATCTCGCCCACCACGCTGGACATGTTCCAATTCAACTTGCCTGATGAAAAATTTGTTTGCCACGGGTGTAGCACATCTGCCCGACGCGGTGGTCTGGCATGCCCTGCGGAAGGTGGCGTGCAACCTCTCGCTGAAATCAATTGAGCACTTGCATTTAGCCCATGCCTTCATGATGCCTGGGCCATGGCGTTTCAAGCTCACTGCGTCGGGGCACTGCGCCCGAAGGCTCCGACCGAACAGCGACAAACCTTCTGCGGGGTATTGGCAGAACCGATGAATTCTATCGTCCTTGGTCTCATCGTCAACATCAATGGCCAAGCATGCCAGCGAATATGGCGGTTTGCTCATGCGGAGCTCGAAATAATCCACGATGGACGCCGACGCCTGCACAACTGCTCGCCTGGCGAACGTTCTCGCAGTGGCGTCGTCGAACCTGCAACCCAAACGCGCGAGTAACTGCCAGGGCGAATCGTCAGCATATTCCATCAGCAGGTCCCTGAGCATCAACTGTGGAGACGCCCGAACAACAAAAGAAACCGTGCACCACAAGAGACCCCAAGACCCAGGACCCGCGACCCTGGAACCACGCACTCCACCACATCCAACCCCCGCCCACCACTCCGCCCTGCAAGAGGGCAGGGGGCGGGCTGACGTGCGCGGCACGGCTAGGCGGAACTGCGATATGCGACCCAGACGCCAGCGATTTCTGAAAAAAACAACTCCCTTCACCTTTCCCCCCTCTCCTCTGTTTTGACGTGACCCCCCGCCATGCGATGAGTGCTCTGCGCCAGGAGACCCCAAGAAACCCCAAGATGATTCAGCGTGATGTTAATAATAAGAGGTCCGTTCCCGAAAGCGGGCTGCATTGCGGGCTCGCCTGGGTTTTGGGCGTTTGAGTTCGTCTATGGTTGTGGGTCGGCGGTCCTCGCATTTCGCCTCCTCGTCCTCCTACTCCTCCTCCTCTTCTCGCCCCTCATCGTGCCCGCCCCCTTGCCCCTTCTCCTCCCGTCCCACCCGCACTTCATTGCTGCGCACAGCGTGGTTTCTCCTCATCCTCCCCCCCCCCCCCCCTTCTCCTCCTCCTCACCCTTTCCTTCCTCGCCCTCGTCTATCAGATTCCTCTTCGCCCCCCTCTCCCGCGTCATCACCCGCCTCCGCCACCGCAACCACATTGCCCCTCCTATTCCTCAGCGCCTGGGTCGTCGGCCCCTTGTGGCAATTGGATCCCCAGACGTTTCAGAACCCGAATGCACCCGAACAACCAAGGATGCCCCAGACGGCCTCACCGCGAGATCCTTGAATGCCCCGACGGGGGCGGGGCGCGGGGAGAGGGGGACGGGAGAGGCGAGGGGAGAGGCAGGGGGGAGGAGGGTCGCTCGGACGGGATGGAGGAAGGGGGAGGGACGCGGCGCGGGTCGCGCGAGGATGGGGGAGGGGGGAGGGGGGGGGGGGAGGGGGGGGGCGGGGCTGGGAAGGGAACGATTGGGGATGGATGGCACCCCCTCACGGCCGCCCCGACGGGGGGGGGAAGGAGGGGGGGGGGGAGGAGGTGGGGCGCAGGAGGGCGGAAGGGGGGGAATGAGGAAGGACGGACAGAAGGACGGACGGAAGGAAGGAAGGAAGGACATCAAGGAGGAGGGAGGAGGAGGATGGGGCGGAGGAGGAAGAGGAGGAGGGCGCACCTGCCCGACGCACACGCGCGCACAACTGCACGCGCGCACGCTGCGACGCGGTCGCGCTGGAACTACCACAGCACAAACCACACGAAACGCACGCGCGTGTCCACGCATTCACGAGCGAACGCCAGCCACATGCACTGACGCCGCCACGCGGGTACACGCATACGTGGTTAGACATGCGTAAACAGCACATACCGACGTACACATATACACGCAACATGGCACATACGAACCGACATACATACATGTAACCTACATGCGCACCGACGTTCATGCGCGCATGCACGCTTACTCTGTCATGATCACGCGCATGAATATACACAAATGCAAGCATTAGCACGTGCGCGAATGCACGCGCCCGCCCATGGATGCGCCCCCGTGCGCATGCATCTACCACGAGTGGGGAGGGGAGGAGGGGCGGGAGCAGGAGTGGGAGGAGGAGGAGGAATAGGAGTAGCAGAAGGAGGAGGAGGAGGAGGATGAGGATGAGGAGGAATGGGAGGAGCAGGATAAGGAGGATAATGGTGAGGAGAAGGGGGAGGAGAGGGATGCGACGGAGGAGGAGGAGAATGAGTAATAATAATAGAAGGATGAGGAGGAGGTGGAGGAGGATGAGGCGGATGGAGGAGAATGCGGAGGGGGAGGGGGAACACGCGCGACCAGTGGGAGGGGGGCGCTAGGAGGAGGACGAGGAGGATGAAGACAACGAAGAGGGCGACTAGGGGGGGAGGAAAAGAAGGATGAGGACAGAGATGATGATGATGATGATGATGATGATGATGATGCTGGTGCTGCTGCTGATGATGATGATGAGGATGGGGAGGGCGAGGAGGGGGGGGGGAAGATGGAACGGAATAAGAAGATGTTGACACATAGGAGGTTGGAGGGGCAGAAAGGGAAAGAAACGACCGAGGAGGGAACCACATGATGTAGTGCATAAGGGGGCAGCACGTGAAGGAGGAGTAAGACCCGATGGGCGACGAGGAAGAGATGGAAAAAAGGGTGTTCGATCAAACGCCGTTCCCGCTCTCCTGCTCCTCATCCTCCTTCCTTATCCCCCTCATCCTCCTCCTGATCATCCTCCCGATGCCCATCGCCACGTCGCATTCTCTTCTCGGTGTCACCCGCAGAATCCGCAGAACATCCAGGCCAACAGCAGCACGTATGCGGTGCAATCTGGAAGATCGAGCAACACGTTGTGCCAATATTTCGGCGAACGGATGTAGCTGACGGAACGGCGGGGGGCGGGGCGAGGGTTGCGGGATAATGGGAGATGGGAGTGGCGGTGGGCGGATGGCGGAGGACAGCAACATAAGTAGGTGAGGGTGGCGGGCGGATTGAGGAGGAAGCTGCTTACGCTCGGCAACAGCCGACATTATCTTGCAACCTTGGCACAACGCGTCACTGACCACGCAGGGCCACATCACAGTTTTCAACCTCACGCAGCCCCCACCGCCCAGGAGCCTAAACCATAAACGTCGGCATTTCGCTAAGTAAGGCCATCGATGGGCCAACGGTCAAAAACCACAGGGCCCAGGGGCCATGCGCCCGAGACGACCCGAGCAGAAACAATGGCAAACGCGCGGAGGGGCGGTGGGAACCAACCCCATCTGCCTACGATCCGAGCAGAAACAGTGGCCAACACACTAGCGTTTCATGTATCCAGCTGTGTCCTGGCAATGTGCGATGGGCGAGTCGACGGGGCTCGAGAGCTCCAAGAGGGACGCGCGCTCCCTGTTCTTCCCCAGGGCAACGTAGAGGCCGTGCTTGTCCACGACGCGGCCAACGACCACACAGACGCCGTGGATAGCGTGCACGCCGCCGTCCGTCAAGCGGGTGCATACTCGCTTGATCCGCAGCCTGTTCTTCGCCGCCATGTCCTCCCTGTTGGCGGACACGACGGCGGCCAGCTGCTCCTCGAGCGACTGGTGGAGCTTCAGATCATCATGCCAGTAGCGAAGAGCACGCTGGAATACTCGGGGCCCGACGGACACAGCTGCGATGCGCTTGATGTTCGGCGCGACTTGCGCCCACCTGGACTCACAACAACTATCCCAACTCCGAGCGTCGATCCAAGTGATGTACGGCTGAGACATCTTCTTGATGGCTGATGCTTTGCTAGCGCAACACGGCCCCCCTACAGGAAGCCCCAGCCCCAAGTGCTCCTTCGAACCCTCGCACACGTAGCACCAGTGCGTGATCACCGAACCGAATATGTCATCACCCAAATTAACCTCGGTTTCAATGTCGATAGTGCTGCACAATGCCTCCAAATCATGCAGCCTGGTGGTCTTGACGCGATCACCTTGTTTGGTCACAGTGTAAAACATGTCCTCGTCATCGCCAACGAGAGCTCTGAGCAAGTCCTGTGATCGAACATCGTAGTATTCGGGCCGCTTCTCACGACGTATGATGATCGCACCGCCGACGACGGCCTGGATGGCCGAAGACAACTCATCTAAATGCTTCTGGATTCTCATCAAACGGGTGAATGTGTGGATCGTGGCTGCATTTTTTTTTGAAATCGACAAGCCGCCCTTTCACTAATACCCACCCATGGCTGTGGCACGGTTCGATGTGAGGCATCATGCGAGGAAATGCGTATCGGTACAACTTGCTCCAGACGTACGCGATCATCTTAATATTGGCGGATGCTCTGTCAGCTGCGAACAAATACATAGCCACGTCGCAAGAGTCCATCAATTGTTTCATTTCGCTCAGGCGCCCCAGCGGCATCGGGAAGTCGATCAGAAACGCTTCAAGCAGATGGTCCGCCGTCTGGCCCAGCAGGAACTTCGCGCGGCCGAACCAAGGTTCAACGCGCGAAAACACTGCGGCACAGGAATCGCCCTCGTACACATCAGAAAACATGAGACCAATCGACGTCATCACCTGAATGGACGTGGCTGGCTTGCTACACCGAGATCTGTCGTCAAACTTCTTGACCCTCAGCAATCGTTGCGATGTCTCGTCCCACTCCGCGAACACGCCCCTTATTCGCAGGCTGCGTGGCGCTGCTGTCACGCCAGCCTTCGAGAAATAAATGTCAGTCAGGCATTTCCCGCTGGGCTGATATAACCGCCTCTGTTACTACACCGATGGCTCTGCTTTGGGCGAACGCTTGCTGAGGGTTGCAACGCCGCGTCATCTGCGGTGCAAGTGCCAATCTGAACTGAACCTCTGCCTTGAGCCCAGGCGTCGCCAATCCCTGAGCAGCCTTGCTAGCAGCGTCACCGAGAAGTCTGGCAATCCCAGGGGTCGTATGCAGCACGACGGCCATGACCGACCTCAGCGCGTGAGACTCTGACATGGCATTCTGCAGTGCCTCCTCGGCGACTCGCGCGCGCTTGACTGCGCGCGCGTGCTTCAACTGCTGCTCCGAGGCACCAGCATGGCGCCGAAGGGGCGCCACGGCGAGCAGCCCCTCGGCCTCGCGCTCCTCTGCGCCAAAAGCTGGATCGCACCGCCGCCGCCGTGTCCTGGGCCCCGCCGCGGCGCCGCGGCCGCCGCTGTCTGGCGCCGCGGGCACGGGCCCCTCTCGGGCAACAACTGGGCCCGATAAGCCGAGCAACTCGGATAGCCCCCATCACTGCCATCACGCGGTCCCACGCCGCACCTGGGTTGCAACGGCCCGCCAAAATGGCGCAACCACTCAGCCAAAAGGCGAATCGCAAACGTTGGAGGAGGTCGGGGGAGGAGGGGGGGCGGCGGGCATGCAGGGAGTCGCACACCCAAGGGCCCTCCAGGGGCCGATCGCGGGCGCATGTGCGGAGCGCCCCCGTGGCAACCCTGTGCGTTGTCAAGTTTTCTTGGGGCGTCCGAGCCCCGACAGTGCCACTAGTGCCCCCCAGTGGCCCAACAAAGAATAATGAATGATGCGCGTTTGACTTGTGAATGACGCATGGCGGTGCAGATGACGACGCGCGGTTGGGTTGTGCTGCGATGGCGCCAATCAGCTCTGGACTTCTTCACATTTTTACTCAGGTCAGTACTTATCCGCGAGCGTCGAGGCGCAAACCGAAACAAATGTATATGAAATTGATAGCCTCTGACCGACCGCTCAAGCCGCGAGCGTCCATCGCAACATTGCGGCATTTACCTGGATGCAAACAAAATGTTCGATGAGGCAGGCTTCCAACTTCGGGCCAGCCTTCCCAACGCGAGCCGTCAAAACAAGCATGTTCAGCCATTTCTTGCTATGGCCTGGCATGTCCTCTGCTTCGTCTCCGCACCAACGGCGTGCTGGGTTCTGAGTGGCCCCTACATAAAAATGCTCGGTCCAACGGCAGCACGTCTCTGCCGCCCTGAGCTCTGATTGGGTCGGCATGTCCTGAAAAGGGACGTCGTGCTGCACTAGCGTGGCGAACACGGCGGCGTTGAATGAGATCCTCCCAGGCAACATGGCCTTGAATAGCAAAGCGCAAGGTCAGTTTGCCCTGCCCCCCCCCCCCCGTTCGGAGCGGAGATCATCGCCGCCCACCCCCACCCCCCCACCCCCTTGAGTGAGGACGCCCCCCCATCGCTCGCCACTCCCCCACCGCCTAAACGAATGGAAACGCGAAGCGTTCGATATCTAAGGTGGCCAAGCGCATGAAAGTGCAACGCACCAAAGGCAATATTGCGACCAACCAGGCTCAAGATGCACACTGGTGCCTTACAGGCGGCCTTACACGTGAACAAGGCACCCCCAAACGAATGCCCCCAATGCGGCGCCACGTGGATACGTCACACCCCAACGGCGCCAACCATACCATGTAGGAAACGATTGCGTTCTAAAGCTACGAGCGCGCACTTGCTCGCAACGCCGCCTCCGACGCCCGCGAAGCGACGCGGCGCCGCAATGGGCCGCGCGCCTTCGTGGGCTCACGCAGGGCTGGTGACGACCTAAGCGCGCAGCGCAATACGCCGAGATCACACAACTAATGAATCACGATGCGAACCCGAAGGCGACCAACGAATAACCCAACATCGGCACCACGAACCCCACCCCCTCAACCGACATAGCTCCAAGACGGCCCACGAGGCTCCCAAGACGGCCCCGGAGCGGCCCAAGAGCGCCCCCCAGACGGCCCAAGTGCCGCCCAAGGCGGACCAAGAGGCCCCAAGACGGGCCCAAGAGGGGCTCAAGAAGGGAACCGAGAACTGAAAAATCGAGCCCTCCGCCCCAGAAGGCGCCCAGGACCCCGAAAGAGGCCCCAAGAGACTCTCCAAGACACCCCCAAGACGCCCCAATAAGCTCCCGTGAGGCCCCAAGAGGACCAACAACGTCAGGCCCCAGGCCCCAAGAAGACAAACAAATGCCGCCTAGAGCCCGCCGAAAGCCCCCCAAGAGACCGTCACGAGAGCTCAGGAGGCCCCCTGGAGGCCTCCCGAGTTCTCCAAAAGCCTAAAAAGAGGCGCCAAGAGGCCCCAAACGGCCCCAACGAGGCTCCAAGAGGCCACGAACGCGCAAGCAAACGCCTGCGATGGCACAATACGGGCCGGCGGAATGAGCGAAGCGATTAAATGACCCAACACCGGCGCCGCGAACCCCACCCCCTCAACCGACGTATGCAAGGCATGCCCCAACCCAGAGGACGCTGAGGAAACATGCGACGTCTTATAAAACTGCGTTTCGCACGAACTGCCAATGCGTAGAAGTTGGCCCGACCAATCCGACTAACGCCGCCCTCTCGTAACTCCGCAGACCGCCCAATCCTGCCCCGACCACGCACGCGTTTCACCCCAACTGTGGCAGATGCTGCCTGAGACGACGACCACTTGTTCAAATGCAACGGGGGGGGGGGGGGGGGCCTCCTCCAGATCAGGGCAGCTCGCCTTGGTATCGTTTTGGGATGGGCTGGCGGGTGGGCGGGGGCGCGCGCAGCGCTGAGGATTTCAGAAAGCTCGCGTGCAATGCCGACCTGATAATTCACGCGAGAAGCGAACGCCTCTTGTTCTGCTTCTAGGATATGCAACCGCTGAGTGTCCTGGGAATCAGTGCCCGAGCAAGGAGCTGGCGAGGGCGACCGAGGCGGCGTTGGAACTGAAATTGGCACCTCGCATTGACGCAGACTTGCTGGAACCGTCTGATGCTCTGACCAAGGAGGCGTGATCCGATCGTCTGAGCCAGAGGGGCAGTTCTCGCTGCTGAATGGGCGACTGGCTGGGGCAGGACGCGGAGAGTCCCGCTGCACACTGGGGCGTGGACCTGCCGCCCGAACGTCCGAACCGCACTGGCGCGGCTGAGCGATCGGGGACTGGACGTCCGAACCGAGCTTGCACAACTGAGCGCTCGAAGATAAGTCGCCCGAACCGCGCGGGCGCCACTGAACGCTCGGAGAGACAGTGAGAACGGGCGAGGGCGGCTGCACACGTGAACACTGTGGTTGCAGCTGGTCCAAGTTAGCAGGCAACGTCGGCGGCGGTGACGGCGCTGGTTCGCCATGCCCCTGGGAACCCGGCGACGTTGGCAACGACTGGCTCCAACTAACATCATGGACATGCGCGGCGCGCCCCAACGAGTGACCAGAGCCCAAGGACCCCCCGCGCGAATATCATGGAAATGGCGGGGCGCGGGGCGGGGTGGAGCGCCGCCGCGTATTTCCCCAGGCCGCGCCCATAGCCCAGGCACGGAGCGAGAACGAGTAGCTGACCCACAACCCATGCACCGCGGTGGGCCGAATGGACGCAATCAACGCAATCAACGCAACGTGTGCAAACAAACGCAGCATGTGCTGTCTATTCTACTGGGCGCTGGCCCTACGTCGGGGCGCGCCGCGCTTTATGGCGTCAGCCTGCTGACCCCCGACACTCGGGCTGGTACAACACGAGCCCTGCGATTCGGAGCTCGGGGCGACCAACTCCTGGGGGGCGGGAAAGGCACGCGCCCTAGCTCTAAGATGGATCAAGACAGCATCGCAATGGATGCGATAGCTCCCAGACGGACCAATATAGACTCGACTTGGGCAGGGACACACGCGACGAAGCCTCGCATAACCCCCCAACCTCCAAGAAACTCCCCGAACTGGCCCATAGTGGTCCCAGAATGATCCCCATGCGGGCCACAGAGAGTTGCACCATGTGGGTTCCCGCGTCGGATCCTGCGTGACCTCTTCAAGCACAGACGCGAAACTCCGCCGTCTCGCGCGCGACGTGCGCGACCGCGGGCGGCGCGGAGAGGGCGGGCCGGACGTCCGCCATAGCTCCGAAGCCAACCTCGACAGACGGGGGTCTCCCATGTCTCAAGTGATTTGGGCCCTCATGGCACGGAATGGAACACAGGGCGGGCCACGGGATGGGCGGATAGTCACTCGCATTGGCAAAGTTGCGAAGCACGGGATGGAAGGATAAGCATTTGTATTGGTCACGTTGCGAGATTCGGGTAATATGCCAACAGGGGGGGCTTGGCGGCGCAATGCGAACGCGAGCTTGGAGTGCGCACGGGGCCAGCTCTTAGAGCTGGCCTACAAACCCGAAATCCTACATGCACTACAGCACCTAACGTATTTGAACATGTTTTTTGTCATACATGATTTGGCATGGCTTGTGTACTGTGTTGAACAACGCACCCGTTAGCAATTATTTTTGTTACATGCGCATACAAGCCCGATTGATCCCATAATTCTTGGAACAAATGGGGCAAACGGCGACCGTCAAGTCGGAAACCGCATACGCGCTGGACATCGGAACGCATCAAATCGCATGAGGAGGCATCAGATATCGAAGCTCATCGGGCCACGTGGACCGATGCACGCGGCAAGCCCAGGGCGGCGGCAATCCAGAGAGGAGGGCTGGAAGGGGGAGAAGGGGAGAATGAGAAGGAGGAGGAGGAGGAGGGTGGGAGAAGGAGGGGGACGATCAGGAGCAGGATGGGGGAGGCGGCGGGGGAGGAGGCGGAGGGGGGGGGACGTGAATCTGACAAGGACAGAGGGTAAGGAAAGCACGTTCTCGTGCGTGTCCACTCTTCAAGTTGGCGCCGTTGCCGCCCAGGCTGGGCGAACGAAAGTCGTGTCAACACCTCTGCGCAGTGACTATGGCTGCGGGATCGGAAATGCAGCGGGTCTGTGGGGCTGTGCAATGTAAACCGATGGCAGAACTAACACGCTATTTTTTTGTTTAAAAAAAAAATGGAAACCGAAATGCGAAAATACCTTGCGACCCCCCCCCAAAAAAAAACACAATGTAACGCTACGTTGCTGTTGATAGTGTAGCCCGTGTGAGCGGGTTTCTAGAGAGGCGTCTGAGCTGACCCCCCCCGCTCTCCAACAGCAGACGTGGAATTTGATGCGAAGGCGCGAGCCCCCTGACAACTGCGAAGGTACCAGGGTGGCCGCAGCCAGTGAAACGACTGTCGGATGCCGAATTGGGTGCCCAGAGGGGACGTAAGCGTTGGCAAGCTGCGAAGTACCAGGGTGGCCGGGGCCAGGAGGTCCAACCGCAGCAGAATGCACAAGTGCG